CCCCCTCCCTCGACCACGCTCAACCTTGCCCATCCAAATTCGGCGTTCCCGCTCTCTCGGGTATCACCTGTGGTCTAGTGAAAGTTTTTACGGGTAAATTATTATCCCGGGAATCACGAAAAGATATTCACCCTTCAAGGTTTCGAATTCAGCTTTCTTGCGCTGGTACGTGAAATATTTAACTGTTTTCCAATGTTTGAACTATTTCTGCATAGACTAAAGTAAAAGGCAGTGAAAACCATTAATAGGCAATCGTTCGATGGGCCGAATTGCACACAACGCATGATCGCACCGGCTAGTCTGGTGCGCGTTGCTATTTATTATTCTCTACAAAAATGAATTACAGGCACTCAAAAACAGCCATGATCGTAACAAAAAGAGCAACCAGCCTTATTGGTAGTCAGAAACTGCTTAAAAATCACTTTATGGCGGTTCTGGTCCCCTCTCTTGGGACAGGTCATTTTACCCGAGCCCATCTTCTTCCCAGTAGCAGAATCAAATCGAACGACTGCGCAAAGGCCATCTTGGAGATGATATGCACATACATACCTGACTAATATTAACGCTGCCTGTAGAGTGCCGTACGCCTGAGCCCCAAATCAGCAGCGGCGTGAGCAATTCAGCTTCCGTGCCAGCACCATGCGAACCCCAGTCCGTCATTCCATGATCCGAAGTAAACATGAATGCTGTCCTGAAACTGAAAATTAAGTGGACAAACTGCTTTGGGTCAAACTTTCAAATTCCGAAAAACGGTGTCAGAACATTTATGTTGTGGTGACTGATGTTTAATTTGTATGAGGTCAATTCCACATCTTTTTTCAGGAAGATTCTATGCACTCACGATTGGGCCTCTTGTCTTTGTACATACCTTGCATGTTCTTCGTCCCATTCTACACTTGCAGATCAGCAACCGGAAAAAGAGATGGGGCTAGGAATATACAGCTCACGAATGAAGAGTGTGAAATAGCTGTAGCGGAAAACCCGCGAAAAGCCGACCAAGAAGCCGCCACAAAGAAAAAAGAGAAGAAAAAAAAGACGTATCTTGCCTCGAAATGCAGACATGCAGCAGATGTGCTGCCAGGCTGGATCTGGAGTGCAAGAACCAGCGGTGTAGTGGTAAAACATTGCGTCCGGACGTGAAAAGGAGTGGTTCAATTCCCTCGTGGTCCAGGACAATTTTTGAGAAAGGACTCCGCTCACGACAGTAGCTGCGTCCGGAGTGTAATGGGAGCATCTCGAAAATATTATTAACATCAAGGTCCGACCTATTATCGTCGTAGAAGTTTTCGACTAGACGGGTCACATTTTCAATGCCCGAATCCACAACTTCTATATTATCAATGTAATTTGCTGAATGAGGCTTGAAGCCATGTCCAATTGTGTCCAATCCCAGCAAATGCAAGAAGAATACTGCGCGATCGGAATGCAAACGCTTCACTGTAAATTCATCCGTGCTGTTCAAAAGATCCTAAAATTTATTTAGAGTGATTTCTGCATTAATAAAACCAACGCTTTCGAATCCAGGCGCCTAATGAAAATAAAAAGCGCTACAGAACTGATGACCGGAGGAGTCATCGGGTGCGATTCTACCAACTGTACGAGCTCACGCACTGGGAGAATTGCAATAAGTCATACAGTTCCATTTAACTCATCCTCCCTGCTTTTGGTCTTTTTATGGGAGAAAACCCAAGACCTCAAAATCGAAAACTGCTGTGTAGCGGATTTAAAACGGAATCTTACGTTTGCCTGTAGTCAAAATAAAACGAATTAACCAAACTTAACTCGAAAAATCTGTGCGG